GCACTGAAAAGTGTGTGGAAACGGCAGGCAGCTGCAGTCTCAGGTGAATTAGAGGATCCCTATATCTGAGTGTCCTTGTTTGTGATTCTCTGTCTATTAATTTGAATATTTAAACTGTTTAATCAAACTCAGACAGAGCTCGTACGGTTTGCTAACAAATTACATAATGCATGATTTGCCGAGTGTATTTCAAATAGTTGCGGATACTATTGTCAATAAAAGAAAATGGAAAAGAAAAAAACATTTTATTACTTTTAAAAGGTTATTCACTCACTAGGAAGCTTCCTCCATACAAGTTGGGACCAACACTTGAACTAAATGTATTGCATCTCAAACAGAATCTTAATCTTAATCTTAATCTTAACACATGCAAAATAATTAACTAAAGAAGTTTAAGACCAAAAAAGAATCTCAATACATAATGTTTTGGGGTGGTTGATTATGTCAGAAAATCAGGTATATTTTAGTCAAATATGATAATAATTCACCAACTCATAAACCATTTGTAAGTTGCATTATATATATATATATTTTATATATGTATATATATATATTGAATATTAGACCATAAAATTTATATATATTAAAAAGAATATACTGCAATTATTCCACACAACATGCAGCATGTGCTGATTCAGAAACTCCCAATATCTTATCTGTATATTGAATGGCTCACCAAAGTTGCAATTTTCTTGGACCACTTGAAAAGCTAAAGTGGACTTAAAATTTGATATAGTGTAAATCCCGGTCACTCCCTGAATTAAGGTTAAATTACGAAAAAATTCCTCAGGTAATTACAACTGCCCCCCTCGATTATAAATCTTCTTATATGTCAACCATTACGGTGTCAAATTTAGTGAAATCTTCTAGATTATATGGAATATTCTCTAGCTTGTACCCGTTTTACCCCATTCGAACTCCACATTTTGAAACAAGATGATCATAAGATGTGTCTCTGAGCTTGTAAATATCAAATTATGGTGCATCAGAAACTGCATTTTTGTACAAAACGAGTACAAATTAGAGAACATTCCACGTAATCTAGAAGATACTGTTGAGTTTAACACCATAGGATAGACGTGTAAGAAAATTCATAGTTGAGGGGTGGTTGTAATTACCCAAACATGAGGAATTTTTTCGTAATTTGATCTTGCATCAAACTATCCATTGATATTAAATAAAGAAAGTGCAATTTCTTTTTCAATCAAACTATCAACAAAAAAGCTCGAAAACAAGTTGCAATTTTATTAGACGGTGACATATAACTGCCACAAATCAACCTTGCAAATAGGTATTTTAAAAATAAAGGATAAACCAAATACAACTTTCAAATTTGTTGAAGATTTCATACAAATCAAGATTAGAAAAAACAAAGAACAAAACACATTGTAGTAAAATTTAGAGATCAAACATAACGTTGCGGCGAAAGAAAAACGATTAAAAAGAGCTGTTTTTTTTTTCTTAGATAGTTTCTTCATTCTTTGCCATCAGCAGCACGAAGAGAGCCGAGTTGAACCGGGGCTTGAGTTCCCACGACTTTCGACGAGCCGTAATTTGACAAATCTACCCCTAGGGTTTTCTCTTTCTCGAGTTGTTCCTTAATCCAGAAATACGTGATTCTCAATCCATCCTGTCCAAAAAAAAAGAACGGATATCAGCAAATGAGCCGTAACACAATAAAAAAAATAAATTAAAATCACGGTACCTTTAGTTTCATAGACGGGGCCCATCCGAGCTTTTCCTTAATTAGGGTATTATCGGAATTTCGACCACGTACACCCTCGGGTCCCGGAATGTGGTGGATCGGAAGCTTCTTATCCTCGAAGCTCGAGATAATTTCGGCCATCCCGTTCATGCTCACCTCCTCGTCACTTCCAATATTCACAGGCTCTCGGAAGTCCGATTTAGTTAATCTGAAAAAAAGAAAATCATTTTTGGTGCATTAATAATAATAAAAGAAGAAAAAAAAACTTGATTTTTTTATTTTCTTTAATATACCTTAAAACACCCTCAACGCATTCATCGATGAATGTGAAAGATCGAGTTTGGAGGCCATCTCCCCACATTTCGAATTTATCGGTAGAAGTGAGAGTTTTCCTACAGAAAGCAGCTGGTGCTTTTTCCCTTCCACCTGCAGTTATTCACAATATATTAATTCCAAACAAAATAAAAATGAAGATTTTTATAATTATATTTTGTATTAATTTTCGAGTTTTTACCTTTCCATGTTCCAAAGGGACCGTAGATATTATGGAACCTTCCGATTCTGCACTCGATTCCAAAGTCCTTGTTGTAGTGCTTACATAATTCCTCTGTCGCCAGCTTCTCTAGACCGTAAGCATCTTGAGGCTAATCCACCAAAAAAAGAAAAAAGCTAAATTTTAGTGATGAAAAAAAAAACTTGATGAAAATGTAAAATGATTTTTAGAAGAAAAAAAACCTCGGCGGGCCATGCATCAGATTCTTTCAAGCTCACATTGGTCTCCAGTTGCTTAAATTCGGGATAAATACACGCACTTGAGGCGTAGAAAAACCTATAGACAAAAAGGGGAAAATTTTACTTAATTCTTCGCTCCAAATATGAGCCATATTGCATATATACCTTGCACGTGTAAAATCCAACACTTATTAGAGTTGAATAAATTAGTAATAAACGACAAGATGGAATCATCTCTAGGGAAACTAAGATCTAAACCACTATGTCGATTATGCAAGGTAAATGTGAAGTTCTTTTTGTCGATTATAAATATACCGAAGAGCATCAGCCAATCCTTATCTTCAAACACGTTTATTTTTCCATACACTTTAACGAGATTATTCAACTTTCCAAACCCAAGCAGATTTAAAGAAAACAAGGGACCTCTTAACCCCCGATAATTCTACCAGCCTCAACCATGTTAAAAATCGAGAATCGAATAAATCAAGTATAAAATCAAGAATCAAGAATCAAGAATCTAAACCACTATCCTTTCTCAACTACACAAAAACCAAAAAAGAGCATCAACCCATGCATTATCTTCTCACACATCTTTATCGACTACACATTCATTATCTTTGAACACATTTATATTTTCCGGCTTTCGCATATACTATAACTGGATTTTAAAGAAAGAAAGGAAAAAAAAACCCGAACCTCTTAACTCCGTTAATTCTGCCAGCCTCGATCATATTAAAACTGATCATAGTATTGTTGTACATAATGACGGAGTGGTTCGACTGAATGAAGCCCATCCCTCCCATATCAGCAGCAAGATTAAAGACATGATCCACACCTTCGGTTACTTTCAGACAGTTATCCATGACCCTCAGATCAACGAGGTGGAATTCATGACAAAACATGTCCTCGGGCATGTGCTCGTTTTTCTTCCAGTCCGATGCGATGATGTAATGACCTTCGCTCTTCAAACGCCTCGCAATGTGAGACGCGATGAATCCTCCAGCACCAGTTATGGAGATCCGGAGCTTTTCCGAGGGCCAATAGGGCTCCGTCTCGAGATTCTCGTACGTGTAGGCCTTGTACAAGTTTTCACCGGTGCTTCCCATTTTCTGCAAAATTATTAGCATAGGTATAAAATTTAGAATAACGAATACATCAGCGAAATTTATCTAGAGAAACGAGAGTCGAGTAAATCAAACTAAATTCAAGAAACTAGACATACTACTACAATACCTAAAGTCGAAAAACTAACGAAAATTTTACAGAATCTGACAATGGATTTCGAATATTTAGTCAAATTTCGAGTTACTTTCTTCGAGTAATTGTGATGGATTTCAAATCGTTGTGGTTCGGGGTTACAGAATCGTTTTAAATCCATTCATAACATAAGAGACTACATGAACATGTTGAAGATAACAGAACATACACACATATATAACAGCTTAATTAAACCCCAAACAAAAAAAAATAAAAAAATTGTACAATCTCTCAAACCAATGAAAATGAATTTCCAAAAAAACACAAATTTGATATATCAATTAGTTTTCACCATTTTCAGCAAACAGTGTGCGCGCAAGTAATTGCTAACACAGTACCTCAAATTAAATTAAAAAAAAAAATTAATCAAAACCTAATTCAGCAAGGAATGAAGAAAATCAAAGTGAAAACAGATGAGAGAATAACCGAAGATTCAATTACCTCGAAAAAGCTTGAGTTTCAGAGATGCAGATATGGAAATGTTTTTCGAGTAGATCTCTCTGCTTCTTCTGTGAGCTATATATATATATATATATATATAAATAATGGGGATTATTTTATCCTTCTCTCAGACTATTTTCCTTTTTTTTTTTTGTTCTTTTTCTTTTTTTAATTTAATTTATTTATTTAATTTATTGGGTTGTAAAATTATCATATTTTTAAATTAATTTTTCGGTCTTTTCCAGATTGTGAGGACATAAAATCGTATGAGGCCGTATTTGGATATATTTGTAATTTTGAGTGGGAAATAGAAAGTACACGTCTTGTCATTGGTCAGTTTTGTAATTTACTTCACGTGTTTTATTTATCTCCCTATAATTTTTTTTATAGGATAATAATTCATAAATTATGACGTAATAAAAAAAAAATATAAGTTACTAATCGTTTACAATCGAAATAGGTGTGTCGGAATGTTTTTGTGATAAATCTGTCCTTTTTTTTATATAGAAAAATGATGCATAAATCTCTCCAATTAATCATTATATCGGAACATATTAAGAAAATCAATAAATTTTATATTTTATAATAAAAAAAAGGAATTGTGATTAATTATTTTTCAATTAATTAATTAATTATGAGTAATAAATGATATAATTGTAAATAGTGCAATTAATATTTTATTGAAATTGTAAAGTGACGAATAACCTGGGACACATAGTACGGAAAAGATGGGGTAATTTGTACTCCCTTCGTTTTAAATAGTATTGTTTATCACGTTTGCACAAATCTTAAGAAACTCAATAAACATGTTTTGATTTTGAGAACATATACAAAAATATCCTTTGCTATGTTTGGTAAGCTTTTGGGCTTCCATTTCCATTTTATTCTGAAGAAAGATGTTTTGGGAGAAGAATTTGAAAATAAAATAAAATTTGGTTGTGTTTTGAGACGAGACAATTTGTACTGTAGTAAGTCAAATCATGTCTAAAAGATGTTGGAAAAATGTATTTTAGAAGAAGAATTTGAAGGATAAAGTGATTTTAGTTTGTAATTTAGTGAAGACAATTTTCACTGTAGCAGTCAAATCATGTCTGTTGGAGAGAGAAAAAATTGAATTCTTTTTGGGAAAAGTTTTTGAAAATATTTCAGAAAGATAATTTTGTTTTTGGGAAAGAATTCGAGAAACTTACCAAACATAGCCCTCGTTTCTCCTAAATCAGCACAGAGAAAGTGTCGGAAGTTAATAAAGGAAATATGTAATGCAATATTAAAATTTTAAAATGACAGATTAATGATGCTAAAATGTAGATCACCTAGGGTAGTGTAGAAAATGAGCTGGGAGAGCAAAGCAGATCAATAGCTTGACAACTTGATGATCCTGAGGTCCCTGCGAAATGAACACACGTGAACTAGGCCGGGGGTTGATCCGGCGGAAACCCCTCCGACGCTCAAGTCAGATATACGAATCGTGGAGATGGTAGAGAGAATTGAACTCCAGATTGTTGGTGAATAATCAAAACGTACCTTAACAAATGAGTAAAATATTTATTTATATGTCGTTGATTGGGTTGGGCTTACTTTGTTGGGCCCAACCCTTACTTTGAAGGTGCTTGGGCTTTCGTGTAGTGGGCCCACTTGTATGCGGTTGGGCTTTTGTGTGTTGGGCCTAATTATTAGGTAAATTTGGAGGCCCATTGGGCCGGCCCAATTAGGTATATGATTACAGATAATATGAAATTAAAAAAAATCTCAAAAGTGACGGATATTATAGTTATTTTGATATTTGAGTTAAACTGTATAGATATTATTAAACCAATCAAACATATGACTAATTGCCATTAACTAATATATATTATAATAGAATAGACATATGGTTAACAACTTGACCAGCAGCTGAATAATTTAACCCTAGTTGAAGATGGATTCCCATATTCACATGTTAAAAGCAAAAAAAAAAAGATTTTTTAAATAAATCAAGTGTCTTATAATTGAGCTAAATAATTGTGTGTGTGCATTTTATTATTTTAATACTTTTAGTATAATAAGTTCAATTGTAGCATAAAAAAGATAAAAGATACCTCCTACTATATTCCCATCATGCAACTCTCATAAACAAATATTGTTGTAGCTCTTGCTTTGCTTTCAATTGACTTCACTAGTATTGAATTTAAGGGTTATTTTTAATTTTTTTATTTCAAAAATTCAAATTTTCGATTTTGTTTAATTGATATTTGTTGGGGCTAAATACCTAATACGCAAGTGCACGTATCACAAACAAGTAGTAAAAGTGGACTCGTGAGAGTCGGATGTCGATCCTACAGGGAATACTCAACTTATCTAATCCTAAGTACCAAAATCTAACAATTATGATTTTTATCCAGCCTACGCAAAGTTGTCAAATTTAATCAACTAAATAATTAAACTAATTATGAAAGCAAATAAACACGAGAAAATATCAATAAAAACGGACCTAGGATTTTATCTTCCCCTATGCACGAATTGCTCACCCAAAACCCCTCAATTATGAAATATATGATTCATGATTATTAACCCGAGACACTAATTTACTCATAACCCGCTGTCGCGTGTATTATGAGTCTATTATTCATAAACGGTTCACTATATGTCTATGCAAACAAATTATGAATAAAACATTAACTAACAAGTCTCGTAAATGGCTACCTAAGGTGATATCTGTATGTCTACGACACCACATGCAATTGACACACTCATCCGGTGAAAACTACTCGAAGGTTCTTATACTTACCGTCTAATTATCAAAATAGCTATGTCGAGTCAATCCCAATAATCACAGATAAAGCACATAGATTGATCAAGTTCATGCACTAATAATCATAACAAGTATAAGAAATAATCATAAATTCATAATTGCATAATCTCAAGAAAACGGGTTCACCATCCCCACATAGGGTTCCAACAAAATCCTAGATTAAAAACTTAGCTACTCATGTTCTCTACGAAAAACATAATAAAAATATAAAAAGACATAGATTAAGAAAAGATAGATGAAAGAAGAATTGTGATGAAGATTTGTCAATTCTCCGTCTTCGTTCTCTCGCTCCTCTTCCTCTAAGATTGTGTCAAAAAGTTCTTTAATTCGTACTTGGTTTGCCCTTAAATAGATGATCCAACTTGGTACAAGAATTTAGGTTTCCTTGTGTGATTAAAAGTCCAAAATTGTCTCCAGCGTGTTTTGGCACGACTAGGGGTGAAAGTCGGATGGATCGGATCGGAATTAGCATTTTCGGAAAATTTCCAAAATATTTCGGAAGTACAAAATCAATTCCAATTCCAATTCCAAAATTTTCGGAATCTAAAAATTCATTCCAATTCCAAAAGGCCCGGAAATTTCGGAATTTCGGAAAAAAATCGGAAATCACATAAGCTTTAAAATTTCAAAACTTAGCCGAAATTTTCTAAAATGTTCATAATTTTTCGAATATAAGAGCATCCACGTCGATAAAAGTAAAACTAATAACTACTAAATTTCAGTTCAAAAAAATAAATAAAAATAAACACAACATAATATCCAATAAAACTTCTAATAACAATTCATTATGTCAAAATCCTAAAACAAAACTTATAGGTGTATTTTTCGGAAAATAAGTATTATATAATATATACTATTTAAAGGTGTATTTTTCGGAAAAAAATCGGAATTTTTCGGAATTAATTTCGGAATTAAATCGGATCGGAAATCGGAAATTCCAAATTTATTTTATATAATTCCAATTCCAATCCAAAAAAAACGGAAAATTTCGGAAATCGGAATTTCGGAAGTCGGAATGAAAAAAGTTGTTCCAAAATCGGAACTTTTCGGATCGGAACCGGCGGGAATTGGAAAATCCGTTCCAACTTGCACCCCTAGGCACGACCGCGCGAGAATCAGTGCAATTCTCACACGGCCGCACGAGAATCGTCGAAACTCACTGTCCAAATTCTGCAATTGGCGCGGCCGCACCAAAAATAGGCTAAATTTGGCACGGCCGCGCGGGCCAATTTTTAGCCAATTTTCAGCATATTTTGTTTTCTTCCGTTTTGCCCGTTTTTGACCTTTTTTGGCTCGTTTCGTCCTTAAAACTTCCAAATCGTCAAGTTGTATCTAAAATACAATAAAATACTCATTAAGCATCATTAAATTTGGCACGGCCGCGCGGGCCAATTTTTAGCCAATTTTCAGCATATTTTGTTTTCTTCCGTTTTGCCCGTTTTTGACCTTTTTTGGCTCGTTTCGTCCTTACAACTTCCAAATCGTCAAGTTGTATCTAAAATACAATAAAATACTCATTAAGCATCATTAAATCAATAAAAGTATACAAAAATCATCGTAAGAAAATATATATTGAGTGTAAACTATACACTCAACAATATTACTGGAATATATATACGATTCCGATTCCGATTTTAATTTACATTTTTTTCTCTTCAACAATTATAATCTTCCAAACAAATATATTGATAACATCAACATTATTATTTATTTTGTAATATATATATGAATAAACAAATAAACTATTCGAATTCAGCAGATTCCGATCCAAAATTTTCGATTTATGAACAATATTTTTGTTTCAAATTTCTGACATTTCAATTTTTGAAAAATTCAATTCCTTTTTATTTCGAATTTTATAGTCATTCACCTTCAAAACAATTTTTTTTTTTAGTGTTATTTCAATCAAACATAATTGGACTAATATGTCAATTTGCAAATATTAAAAGGGCCGAAAGGGAAAGAACCACGACGGTGGTCCCCACCTTGGCTGCGGATTCCAGCAGAGGGTGACGCATCAATGTAATAAAAAGGGCATTAACTTATCAATTGTTTGTTAAAATATGATTATTTGATGAGTAGATGCCTCAATCATTGTACTTTCAGATTCATTTTCTTGAATATATAATTTTGTGAACTAGTAGTAGGTAAACAAGTGAATCTTGTTTATGATATAAATACGGCTGCTGCTGAGGTAAAGTTAAAATCATAAAAAACATTTTTTTTTCTAGTTTATGTGGAATATTGTTTAGATTGTACTTATTTAATTAAAAAATATAATTTCAGATGCACCATAATCTGATATTTACAAGCCAGCAGACACAATTTTTTTTTTCTTTTAAAATGGGACTGGAAATGGGTAAACCGGGTAAAAATTAGACAATAGTCCACAAAGTTTGGAAGATCCCGTTAAATTTGACATCAGATGAGTGGACGGGTAAAACGATACATGTAATTTAGGGAATAGTTGTAATTATCTAATAAGAAGGGGAGGTTTTCGTAATCTGACCTTACGCCTGGAGTTGACCCCAATTTACCCTGATGATTTTTTTTTTTTTTTTTTGCTATTGAGAAAAAAGAAAGAAATTTGAGTAACCAAATATTTGGACTAGTATGAACAAATTTAATTCCTAAATTCTATTGGGCTTTAATTAGGCCCAATTTATTTTTATTTTTCTGACAAGCAGCCTAATTTGTTGGCAAATTAAAATCAATTCAAATCGAATTTAGGCCCAGAAAGAGAAATATGCAAAAGAGAGAGCCGAACAAGCAGGGCGGAGGAGCTACCGGCGTCTCCGTCACTCCCGCCGCCAAGAGAGGCCGTCCTTTCGGAAGCGGAAGCAACACCGCCGCAGCTTCTGCTGTAGCTGCGGCGGCAGGTGAATTAGCCGCTCCCTCCGCCCTACTCGGCCCTTCCCTCCAGGTCCACTCTGCCTTCGCAGGTCAGTTCCTTCCGAAACCCTAGTTTTCTCTCTCTAACGAAAATCTTCTCTCTCTAAAATTACAATTAACTAAATGTAAAACATAAATTGAATTCGTCAACATGTTAAATATATTGTAGAAGTGATTTGATGAAATATAATTGTTCTGAATTGGAATTAACATGGTTGAAGATGGCTTGAATTGTCGAAGGGGTATAATGGTAATTTAAGCACGTTTTTCGTCTGAATCAGTTTTTGTATTTATCTGTGTAACTATATTTTACCAGAACAGAACACCAAAAGGATAGTTTTGGCTCTTCAAAGCGGCCTTAAGAATGAGTTGACTTGGGCACTAAATGCTCTCACATTGCTCTCATTCAAAGAGAAAGACGAAGTCCGTAAAGACGCCACTCCTCTTGCCAAGATTCCGGCATTGCTCGACGCGCTACTCCAAGTCGTACGCCTCTTCCATTGCTATTCATTCGTCCGAATTATAAATTTTCGATTTTGATTAAATAAAGAATAGGATTGAAATTTTGATTGATATGAGAACAGATCGATGACTGGCGTGATATAGCCCTACCGAGGGTCCCGATAAAGTCACCTCGGGTGAGAACGCTGGGTACGAATTCTTCTGTTACTGGATTCCAACATGTATTTCCTCAACAAAGGTGATTGACAAAAAAATAAAAAATAAAAATAAAAAAAATCATTTTTTTTGTTGAGGTTGATGGTTTTTATGTAAATATGTAACTGCATTTTTATCCATGACAGTGAGAAGATTACTTCGAAGCCACGTCGTTCAGGTTGGTGGTTTGAGGAAGACGACCTCTTTAACCTTGACGAGGAAGGACGGGCTGAAAAGCTGCAGTGTGCTGTTGCTGCTTCAAATATTATTCGGAACTTCTCATTTATGCCTGATAATGAAGTTGCTATGGGGCAAAATCGTCATTGTCTCGAAACGATGTTTCAGTGCTTGGAAGATTACGTTACAGGTTGGTGTTTTTAGATTTAAACATTTGTTAAGTCATTGTCTTGTGGAAAAAAAATTGTGCAGAAGACAAAAAGTAAACAAGATTAGTTTGTCTTAAAATTCTTGAATCCGTCTTTTTCCAAAGTAATTTTATTTGCTTTACAGAGGATGAAGAACTTGTCACAAACGCCCTCGAGACAATAATGAACTTGGGCCCATTGCTAGACCTTCGAATATTTAGCTCGTCAAAGCCTTCACACATCAAAATGACGTAAGATTTTGATTTTTCGCTATATATGAGACATATCCCTTTTTTTACTTTTTAAAAAAATAATAATAATAATATTTTTTTAATATTTCCAGAGAAAAACGAGCAGTCGAGGCTGCCATGGGTATGTTGGGATCTTCGTTGAAAGCCTGGCATTGTGCAGGTGCAGAGCTACTTGGCCGTTTGATACTCAACCCCGATAACGAACCTTTCCTTATGCCATTTGCTCCACAGGTTTTGTGTACTTTAATCCCACATAGAGTATATTATCATGCTTAAGTGTTGTTTGGCATTCTTGAGAAAATAATTTGACGGAGAAAAATAAAATTGCAGATCTATAAGCGATTAGTTGAGATGCTGAACTTCACCGTGAGTGATGCTCAAGCAGCTGCTGTAGGTGCACTATACAACCTTGCAGAAGTTAACATGGACTGTCGATTAAAACTTGCCAGCGAGAGATGGTACGCTTTACAATATGATTTCTTGACTCTCAAATTATTTCGCTATGATTGGATCGAGAAAAAACAATGAGTAAAATCGTGAAAATGCTAGGTAAAATAATCTCTTTTAGTGGCTGAGTCAGCATAGAGACACGGGGGCCATGCCCCCCACTGATTCTCAAAAACTTAGTATTTTATATTTGGAACTTGTAGGTCTCGTTCGGTTACCTATATTGGATTAGTCTAGGTTATATAAGAGTTATATAAGATTTAATTAATTTTCTACTTACATACAAATTATCGGTTTGTTAGATTAGATCTTGTATTAAATTTGTTAAATTCTGTTATTATATGTAATTTGTCCATAAAACCTCATACTTAATAAAGTCACAATATGATTTTAAGGGTAAAATTGTCATTTTCTTATTTAAGCAATATGATTACATAAGCAATTTATCCTCAAGCAAACAAATAATTAACAATCTTACATAGTATTTTAACTGTTTTACTCCCATTTTTTCTCAATCCAATCATATCATTTTTCTCGATCCAACCATATGTTCATGCAAATTTTTTTATTCAAGGGCCGTCGATCGTTTATTAAAAGTGATAAAGACACCACATCCAGTGCCGGAGATTTGCCGGAAGGCGACACTGATTTTGGAGAATCTCGTCCTGGAGCCACAAAACAAGCCACTATTGCTAGCCTACGAAAACGCATTTGCAGATATGCTGTTCTCCGATAATAGGTACGCCGATGCATTTGCTCGGATATTGTACGAACTCACCTCTCGAACGAACAGTAAAGTTGCTCCGCCCCGTGGTATTTGGGGCATGTAAGTAATTATCTTTATAACAGGAGGGCCTTTTTGTAACTGTAGACTGAGATTCGTTTAGCTAGTGAAAGAGAGTGTCGACTTAATTTTATCTGTCGTGCCCAATTTGATGTTGTCTTTCGCTGTTGAATTTTACAGTTATGTATCTTCACATTACAGTTTGATTATTGCGGTTGAAAATATTTAACTAGGTTTTTTTTTTTTTTTTTGGTGTGTAAATACTAAGATTTTTTTTATATTTAATAGTTTTCTACATTATTATATTTATTTTGACGATATTTTAATTCTGCAAATAAATAAATAAATATAAGAATAATTTTTTGATTAAGATTTTTTACCCATTTTCCCCACTAAAAATAGATATATGGGAGAGTACATTTTTATTTCAACCAACAGAAAATAGTTCTAAAAAAAAAACGAAAAACAAATACCCAATGCTTCAGGTGCAGTGAACCAGCAATATTGTATAACAAGCTCAAGCAGGAAACGGCATCGTTTCTTGCAAAGAAACAGGAAACTGGTGAATCTCATCGCTCCATGGGTTATGCTTCTCCTTCTTCGGGTCAACCGTCTTCAACGCCCGCCACACGCCGCTATTGCACTTGAAACCCGACCCGAACGCCAGCTGCCAAACCCGGTCCCCCTTCCGGATCCTCCCCTTCGCCTCCGCGTATGCCAGCTCGTACCAGAGCGAGCTGCTCGAAGTATTCCCGAATCTGTAAAGCGTCATTCTAGAAGGTTCCATGTCCGACTCCGTCAGCCGGAGATTCTTCTCCATCTGGTCCAAAACCCCTCTCCCGCCAGTGTGGATGCAGAAGTGCTCGAACGCCATCTTGAAATCCGGCACGTACGGCCGCACCTTCTTCATCTTCAGAACCTTTCTGGCCACCAGGGTGGCCAGAAAGAGGATCTGCTCCGACGCAGGGAGGACCAGAGGGCCCAACGTGGTGATGTTGGCCTGCAGCGTCTCCCCCGCGACGGGCATCAGGTCCCTGGTGAGTGAGATTCCGAGTTTGCCCTCGGCGTCCTCCTCCTGGGACACGCACCTGTAGGCCCTGTCGTCGGCCCCCTTGTGGGTCCGCACTGTGTGCATGAGCTCGTACTTTGACCGCCTGCGGTCGGAGGACCGGTTCGACAAGAGGATGGCGGCGCCGCCCATCCGGAAGAGGCAGTTCGTCAGAAGCTTTGATCGATCCTTGCCGGTGTAGTAATTGGCCGTCACGCATTCCAGACTCATCACTAGCGCGTAGGTGTTTGGTGTCACCTGTCGTAGAATTTAATCCGTTTACAATTTTTCTAAATTAAATATAATAAAATTAATATTGAAGATTAATAATCCATTTTTCCAATATATTTGTTGGTTTGGACTTTTTTTTCTTCAAATTATTTGTCACCTTATAAATTTCAATTAGTCATTTATTATTTTTGTCCTTACTATTAATTTATTGAGAGATTATTAATACCGAAACAATTAATGAGAAGATATTTTAATCACTTTATTATTTATTTTTACTATAATCCATGCAGATTTATTAGTTTTTTTTTTTATGAGTGTAGTAGCCAAAACAAAAAATAAAATGGGAAGGATGGAGTAGTATTTACTTGTAGGAGCCGCTTTGCAAGGTCGATACTTATTATTCCCGCGCTGCAGCCCATGCCGCCCAAATTGCAGCTCACCACATCCCCCCTCAGCTTATAACGGTTGACGATCATTGAAGAAAGTGACGGCGTAGGGTTAAAAGCGGAAATATTAACGACAACGATGCCGACATCCTTTGGGTTCACTCCAGTTTTATCGAACAAGTTATCAATGGCTCCATAGATAACTGCTTCCGCTTCCTCCTTGGCGGATTCAAACGGGCGTTTTGGCGGGAAATCCTGCAGACCGGGGGCGTAAGTCCTGTCCCCCAATCCAGACCTCTCTAGAACCTTCTTCGTGAAAACCCCACTCACTTCGTCGATAATTGCCGAAACTTTTTGACTGACCGTCTCTCTGGTGGACAATAGAGAAGAATCGGGCTTATAGCAAGAGAAGTCAACCAGGTAAACGGTTCTAGGACGGCTCATGAAGTAAACGGTGGCCAAGACCGCCATTAGAGACGTGCACACGGTTACAGCGAGGACGTTGTATCGGAGGTGATAGTTGCACGTTTCGAGTATACGGTGGACGTGGCTCGTCGAGAGATTAGCCGCGACTGCGAGGAGAAGAGGGATTGTTAAGAGGTACATTGCGTTGGAGATTAGGTAATGGCACCCGAGCTTCACGTATTTGAGCCGAATCGAGGAACGGAAGTCGGGTTGTACTTGGTTTTTTTGATCATGTTCTCCATTTGGGGTTTTTGTGGTGTTGGATTTTTGATCTTGTGATGCCATTTGTTATGTGATTTTTTTTCTTCCTTTTCTTGATAGAGTGTGAAAAGATGGACTCAAGTTGGTTATTTATATTGTGAAATTTGAAGTTACGTTTGGTTAATTCACCTAACCTATCTACATGTTTTAATTGAATTCTAGTGAACATTTAGCTGCCAAATATTGAATTTCAAGAGTGTACTAGTTTCCCTGTCTAATAGGAAATCTCCAGCCCTATATTTGTAACTATAGTTAGAAATTATTACACAATAATACAATATAATTAGGTTTAGTTAAATGTTTGCCGTTAAGCTATCAAACCCATAAAAGAAAAAAAAAAAAAAAAACAATAGAAAAAAGTAAAAGAAAAAAAAGATTAAAAAAAAAAGAAAATAGAAAAAAACCCGCCAAGATTTAATGGAATGTATGATCTATAATAAATTAATAATGTTTATTATGAAATATTAGATTCTAAATATTGCGCATTAATAATTATATATAATCATAAATTCTCAAAGGTATATTACAATAATTCATACACATGGCTTTTTTAGTACGATTTTTTTGCTACGATTTTGTATATTTTGCTACGTGACAATCTGAGAGTCGTGGTAAATGTTACAATTTATCATAGCAAAAAGTATTTTGCTGTGGTCTTTTACCGTGACAAAGGTTTTGTCACGTCCGTATCTGCTACGAGATAAATTTATAGCAAATTCGTATTAAAAGTTTTTGTTACTACGAATTTGATATTTTTTACGACAGTTAATAGTCGTAGTAAAAAAATATTTTTCTACTAGGAATATAACCGTAATTAATTGGATTGATCTTAATAAAATAATATTTCCATTCCCTAGTGAAAATCCATTTATATAATTCTCTTGTAAATAATACAAAATTAAGTCTTCATTAAATTTCCTCATTTTAAATTTCATTGAACATTTAGCATTTCGCAATAGTGAATTGTCCGAATTTGACCAACACACCCGCTAGCTATCACTTTGTATTAATTAACATTAGCTTCTAGGGTGCTATGCATTTAAGATATATAAATTAAGAGTATATTAATAGCTTAGGTCCTGTTTGGCTAACTTTATTTTAAACAGTCGATAAACTCTTACGCCAGATAAATTGTTTTAAATGCTGATAAATTGTTATGTCTTAAATAAAAAGATGGGGTATAAGTATTTTTCAAAAAAAAAAAAATTATTTACTCTCCAATAAATTATTTTTTGAATTTTTAAGAATTTAAAAAAAAAATCAAACACATTGAAAGAACTTATAAGTTCTTAAACATTTTATAAGCTATTTTTAATAATTTATAAATTCAGCCAAACATCCCCTAGTATGTTGTAATTCAATAAACCAAGCAGGAAAATAATTATTATTTAAAGTACCCGTTGAGACCTATAATAAAACTAATTATATACTAGATTTCATCTATAGACGAAAAAATCGTCACAACCTGACAAAGTTTGGCACAAATTCAATTAGTACTGGGACTTTTGCCCCTAGTGGACTATATATTGTAATTTGTAATTAGAGCAACTTTAATGTAAAATTAAAATTGAATTGTCAAATACTCTTTTAATATTTAAAATAATTTAATAGCTCTTTATAATTCACCCGCTATCGTTATCAAATTAATTATTAATTGGACTTTTTTGGTGATTTTATTTGTATAATGCCACATGTCATTTTGTGATTGAATATTTTGGTGGTTATGTTTTTGTTAACTCAATTTCAGGGATATATATATATATATATATATATATATATATATATATATATTTCTAATTTTGATGTATTAAAAAAGTTTATGAGTTTGACAATCCATTTGATACTCCTATTGAAGTTGCTCTTAAAACAATTTAATAGCAACACTCGTATCGTTAAAATCGTTACTATTGATTTCTTCTGAAATATTGTGATAAGTAATTCAGTATCAAAAAATTATGATTTAAATGGGATAATTACAGTTTTGGGCCCCTAAGTTTGCATGTTTTTCACTTTTGGTTCCCTATTTATCACCGTCAACAAAATACACACTAATGTTGTCACATTTTAACACATTTAGTCCTTCCGTCTGTTTGACCGTTAAGTAGTAACAGTCAACAGTTGAATTAGGGCTGAATTTGATATTTTTCATAGAGAAAATTGCACTCAGACCCCTACATTCTTTTAAAATATTCAAAAAACCCCTAAAATTTTATTCAACCCTAATTTAACTCCAATTTCATCATTTAATCAATTTTGACAAACGACCCCGATTTTTACCACCATTATCATTGACCGTTGACCGTCGTTTTTTTTTATACTTTTTTTTCGGCATTGACTTTTTTTAAATATTACTTTTTAAGCCATTCACCGACATTGTTTATCGGTTAACAATGTTGAATTTTATTTTTCTTGATTTTTTCCGAACTTTTTCATGTGACTTTTTTTTTTTTCTAATCAACACAATTACTGCATAACACAATAATAATACTATATTAATGTCTAACATCGTAATATTAAAATTACAAACTTCTAACAAAGTTTTTATCTAAAATTCTAGGACCTAAATACAATTTACAAAAATTCTAAAATCGATAATTTATTCCCATCAACTTTTTCGTCGTGGAACCGCCGGTCCATCCCAAATTTCTTTACAAAAAAATATGAAGAAGATGAATTAGGCATGTTTGGAGTAATTTGGAATGAGATAACCACTCTAGTACAACGTTTTTTTGGGCTAACACCGGCCGTTAATTTTTATCTTCTTTTTTTTGTCTTAAATTTTTTCCGTCATTGAGATGCGTTGACTTTTTTTATTTTTTCTTTATTTTGACCTTTTTATGATATTATTTTCTCGCCGATTATCAGCTTTGATTTTTTTTTAAAATTATATATTTCAAATTACTCAACAATTTAAATAAAAATAAAATAAAAATCAAGAAAAAAATGTCAACGTTGTTAACCCGACATTTACATCGGTCAACAGCGGCAAAAAAAGATCAATCGAAAAAAGAGTCAACGGAGTTAAAAAGAAAGTCAACGTCGGATTACCCAATTTTGAAAAATCGGGGTCTTTGGTAAAATTGGTTAATTGATTAAATTGGGGTTAAATTATGGTTGGATAAAATTTTAGAGGTTTTTAGAATATGTTGAAAGAATAGAAGGGTCTTATCGCAATTTTCTCAAAGAAAAATCTCAAATTCAACCGTTGACTGTTACTACTTAACGGTCAAACAGACGGAGGGACTAAATGTGTTAAAATGTGACAATTAGTGTGTATTTTGTTGACAACAGTAAATGATGGACCAAAAGTGAAAAACGCAAACTTGAGGGACCAAAACTGTAATTATCATTCATTCAAAATGCCATTAATCCCAACATATATTTATTTTTTGAACGTGAAAAGATAAATTATATTACATCAAAAGGAGGTTGTTTTTTTTTTACAAGGCACGATGGTCATCTTATATATAAAAGAAAGAAACGCTAGGGCAACCCTAAGAAACCCTAATGTCATATTTGTAATTTTTTTTATTATTTTCAATTTTTATCAAATTTGTATCTCCTTAATATTATTTTAAATATTATTTTTGAATTTTAACATATTTGTATCTCCTAAATATTATTTTAAAAAATTACTTTTTTTTTTATCAGATTTTTATCCCCTAAATATTATTTTTGATTTTTATCAAATTTTTATCTCCTAAGTATTATTATAAATAATATTTTGGGGTTTTATCAAATTTATATCTCCTAAATATAATTTTAAATATTATTGTCAACTTTTAACAGATTTTTATCTCCTATATATTATTTTCGAATTTTATCAAATTTATATCTCCTAAATAATATTTTAAATATTGTTTTCGATTTTTATCATATTTTTATTAGTTTTTTATCTCCTAAATATTATTTTCGATTTTTATCAGATTTTTGTCTCCTAAATATTATTTTCGATTTTTTATTCCCTAAATATTTTTTAAAATATTATTTTCCATTTTTATCAAATTTTTATCTCCTAAATTATTTTAAATAATATTTTTGATTTTTATCATATTTTATCTCCTAAATATTATTCTAATTATTATTTTCGCATTTTATCAACTTTATCTCATTAACATTATTTTAAATATTATTTTCGATTTTTATCAATTTTTTATCTCCTAAATATTATTTTAAATTTTGTTTTTCGATTTTTATCATATTTTTATCTCCTAAATATTATTTTTGATTATTTATCAAAATTTTATCGCCTAAATATTATTTTAAATATTATTATCGATTTTCCTCGAATTTTTATCTCTTAGATATTATTTTCGATTTTTATCAGATTTTTATCTCCTAAATATTATTTTTGATTTTTATTTTTGGCCATAAATATTTCTAATGCATAACTAGTTAAATCTCCTAAATATTACTTTATCTCCTAATTTTCAGCCATAAACAATCTCTTTAATGTTATTTTAAATATTATTTTTTATTTTTATCAAATTTTTATCTCCTGAATATTATTTTAAATTTTATTTTTTTATTTTTATCATATTTTTATCTCCTAAATATTATTTTTGATTATTTATCAAATTTTTATCGCCTAAATATTATTTTAAATATTATTATCGATTTTCATCGAATTTTTATCTCTTAGATAGTATTTTCGATTTTTATCTCCTAAATATTATTTTGATTTTTATTTTTGGCCATAAGTATCTCTAATGCACAACCAGTTAAATCTCCTAAATATTATTTTATTTCCTAATTTTCAGCCATAAACATCTCAACACTAAATATTATTGTTTGATGATAAAATACTAATTATCATATTCCGAAAGATGGAAGAGTCCGAAAGACTTCCATTAAGATTCTCAACACTTTCAACTCTCTTTTCCACTTCAACACGTTTGTGTCTTCTCTTTTTATTTATATCCCACCCTCAACTTCTTCACCCAGCTTTATCTCTCCCGTTTCTACCAAATGTTTGTGACTCCATAAAAGGTTAGCTATTTTGCAATTTGATTTCTCTTCATAGTTCATAATAAATTAAATCTGATTTTCGATTTTACAGAAAATCGTAAATAAATATGATTTTCATCCCTATCGGATTTTGTGACATCGTTTTATAGAATGTCTGCAACATTTGAATTTTATTTCTTCCCTACCCAAGGCTTCTTCTTTTGGTAACCCGACTTTAGAGTTTTTGTCTTATTTTCTTCTTCATCCTATTGATTGTGTGGTAATTAGTTTGCA